CTCCGGTTTGCGGGAGAAATCGCATCCGGACTGCTTCGCGGACCGATACAAGATTGGCGTTGGATGATTTCTGTGGTCCGGACGGTTGCGGGAGATGCCCTAATATCCTTGTCGGTATCAATAGCTCTATTGTGAATCATCTTTATGGTTTGAAATTGCTTGTGAATGACGGTGACAACAAACTTATTTGGCATTTTGTCATGTTCAAGTACAAATACATATGCGCTTCTTTCACCAAGTTTTTTCTCAAAACCAACTACAGTTATGTGCATGTCATGGCCGTCATCAGTTGAAGGAAGAACAACGATGAAGAATTCAGTGAGCTAGTGATGCAGCTGCATAACCCAACCGATTTTGTTGATGTGTCATTGAGTTACATGCACTCAACAAGGACATGCAGTACAATGACATAGCATTCATAAACAAAACATGGCTTCAAGTCCGGATTCAAAGTCTCATTGTCTCGAAAGAAAATATCAAAATCGCCTCGACTACCTATGAAAAATTTACCAATTGCTTTTGCATTGCAACGTGAAGTTATTTTAGTTTACGATATGTTGTCTATCGTTCATTCTTCGTCTGAACACAATATCATAGAGCGCCTGCGATGTGAATGCCTCGTGTGCATACTGCTCCTTGCTTGTTGTTAATCTCATCTATTTTATGATCACCGTGATGAATATTTAGAGCTTTAATAACTTAGAACGGGTCCTTGTTAGTGTTTTATTGTAGAGTACCCATATATGATCCTCTAAGCGGGCTGAGTACCCGAAGCTCTGCGCTTTTATGTCCAAATGTCCGGATGTAATCCACTACATCCGAATTTGAATTTGAAGCATAATTTTTTCTTTCTTTGAAAAGGCTCAGTCCTTGTAGTTTATGTCACTCATGAGTGCGTGGAACTATTGTTCACATAAATGGAACGAGTTAAGCTATGCAGCTGCATGTTTGGGTTGAATCGGAACGGTTCCACATGTGTATCTGCATAGGTTCATTGTACTCTTGTTTTTTTGGAAGCTTTCATAATTCATTGTACTCTTGTTTTAAAGAAAAAATATTCATCATGTGTAGTTTGCAATGTGAATGCCTCTCGTGCATATTGCTCCTTGCTTGGTATTAGTCCCATTTCTTTTTATGATCACCTTGGTGAGTATTTATTTATGCATGACTACGTAGCAAGGATTTATGAATTATGCATACCTCTGAGCTTACTACTGGCTTTGGGTTGGTGGTGGGCTTAATTTTTGCTGCGTGTGCGGCTGCAAGCCACAGTGGTGGTGGGTGATTTGGAGTACACTGACCCAAAAACGCTTTGCTAGCAGCAGTATACTCTTATCCTCGCATAGAAAAAAAGCAGCAGTATACTCTTTGCAGTATGTGCATTATCTTTTGCGTAATCAGATTGCGTCATCCTCTGGCCTTTTATTTCCCATCCTGCCTGTGCCTGGTGCGACGAATGTGGACACCATTTTCCATCGCACCAACCGCAATGCTGCCGGCTTCGCTTTTGTCAGCTTCGCAGTCAGACCGGCCGGCGGCACGGTTCTCTGGCAGCCTCGCGTGGTGGTTAGTTTCAGAGAAGTACCTATTGCGCGCGTTTGTGTAGCAATTGGAGCGTGCTTCGTGGAATCCACTGCCTAAAGGCGCTCGTTTGACACTTGAAACGCCGCAAAAATTGCGGTGCGAGAAACCCAAATTCCGTAGTACGCACCGCAATTTTTTTAGGGTAGTACACACCGCAATTTTTTTTAGCACAGACACAAACGCTTATATACACGCGCATACACTCACCCCTATGAACGCGCACACACACACCCTACCCCTATGAGCACCTCCGAGAGACTGAGCCTGCATATCATCTTGAGATTTACGAAGTCACCGTAGACGCATCGTCGTCGACGAGAACGTCTCCTTCCACTAAAAGCGCATCGCCGGAAATCCTGAAATAAATGCAGAAATAATGCGAGCACCAGAATTTGAACCCTGATGGGTTGGGATACCACTGTCCATCTAACCAACTCAACCACTCCGTGATGTGTAAATACCTACGCACCGTGGCAGGAGGAGCGATCCCTGAATCCGCAGCCCATGCACGCCTGACACCGGTCTCCATGTGCCGATCTATCCAACGAAACCTGTCGTGAGAACACGTGCAGCACTGCGAGCGAGCGAGCGACCTCGTCGTGGCTTCTGTTTTCGTCCTTCCCGGATCAGATCTCGGCTGATTGACTGATTGATCTCCGTGTAACGGCAGCGTGCGTGTCCCCCTTCCTTTGGCCACGCCGCATCGCATCGCATCGCCGATGGGATACGTGCAGAGCGCCAGAAAGGAAAGGAAAGGAAAGGGGAGGGGAGGGAGCCACCAACCCAGCCAGACAGACCCGGAATTCCGTGCCCTGCCCCCGCCTGCCCCCGCTCGACTGAATAAACCCCGAGACCGAAAGCGCGATTCATAATCCCATTTTTCCAATCCAGTCACTCCTCGCCCGCTCCTCCTCCTCTCCGACGGCGAGGAGACGGAGAGGCCCCGGCAGGGTTGCGGTGATCTCGTCTCCTTCTCGCGGTAAGCGACGCCGCCTCCCTCGTTTCCCACCCCGTGATCGGACGGATTTGCCAACGGTTCGTGCCGCCCTCCCCTCGCCGTGGCAGTGAGGAATTGTGGACGTGGCCCCGCTCGCTCGTCGTCCCCGTGCGGTTCGCCGCCGGTCCGTTTGCCGGCGGCGGTGGCCCGCTGATCCACTCCGGTTCCCGATGCCACGCGCTGCCCATCCCTGCGTCCGTGGTTCCGCTAGGTTCTTCTGGGGCGCGCACTACTCGGTCCGAGTTGATCCTATGCGACGGCTTAGTTCTCGGGCGGAATCTTATTTTCCAAGATTTTGGGGGGTTCTAATGAACCAAACTGTGCCCCGCCCTGATAGATGCAAGCCCTCTCTGTTTTCATTTTGTTTTTCAGTTAGATATACAGACCCTTTAACTGCGTATGCAGGGATAAAGATTTATTGCGCTATTAATTAATTAATGCATCTGTTTGCGATTCGAACGTGTAACGATCAATCAACTAAAAAAATGGCTCGATGACTCGATGACTTATCAACCTGTGAGATCATTGTGTTGCTCACGCCAATTATTATCTACAGTATGTTTTACTCACAGTTCTATCCAAATACATTACGTATGTGATCAAGCAATTATCCTGAAAACAAATATGCTCCCAGATCCTGCTCACATTTACTCCCTACGTCCCAAAATATAAGATCATTTTTGACACTATGATATTGTTGAAAATGATCTTGCATTTTGGGACGGAGGGCGTATATCCTAGTACATTACATATGATCAAGCAACTATTATGCTCTCAAATCCTGCTCACATGTATCAAAGAAAAAAGAATGAATCATGATTAAATACAGGATAATGTAATTTGATTGCATTGTATTCAGCAGATGGGGGACATTGCCAAGGACTTGACAGCCGGAACCGTCGGAGGGATCGCCAATCTGGTTGTTGGGCACCCATTTGACACCATCAAGGTCAAGCTCCAGAGCCAGCCCAGCCCTGCTCCAGGCCAGCTTCCTAAGTATGCCGGCGCCTTTGATACTGTCAAGCAAACGGTTGCGGCTGAAGGGCCAAGGGGACTCTACAAGGGGATGGGGGCTCCTCTCGCTACTGTTGCAGCCTTTAACGCTCTCCTGTTCACTGTGAGGGGCCAGATGGAGACTCTCTTGAGATCGGAGCCTGGGGCGCCATTGACGGTAAAACAGCAGGTTGTCGCTGGTGCTGGTGCTGGGCTTGCAGTCTCCTTCCTGGCATGCCCAACCGAGCTGATCAAGTGCAGGTAACCAAAGTTGCACAATGCCAGTTTTCATTTAATTTACTTTCATCATCTGATATAATCTCCACATCATTCCGATGACGAGATTGGGAAGTTTCGTAAGTGGGATTATAATTTATGTGCTAAAGTCATGATATTCATCATTCTCTGAAGTTGTCCTTTTTTGCACACGCTAGATGTCATCAATGTCATGTTCTCCCTCCGTTCCTAAATATAAGTCTTCGCATAGATTTCACTACGGACCATATACGGATGCATATAGATGCATTTTAGAGTGTAGATTCACTCATTTTGCTTCATGTGTGGTCTATAGTGAAATCTCTCCAAAGACTTATATTTAGGAATGGAGGGAGTACTTCCTTGCCGTGCATTTCAGTGTGTTTATCTTGCATCATATCATGCATTGCCACTGTGGATTAATGCTCTATAATATAGGGTCATTGAAAGAAGGCATCTGACTCACACCAGTCAGATTTCAGATATAGGCATTGGCGCCTGTATAACCAATGACAATAATTGCATAGCTGAAAAACTGAACCGTGTCTCTCTAGTCAGTTTGGATCTAAAGTATGCATTTTTCTGTATCACAGTTTATCTGACTTTCCCTCACCATGTGATTCATTGCTGCAGTGCGTTGCTTCTGTTGATTCTAGGGTCACTGAAAAATTTCTGAAGGATTAATTTCCTAGTGCTCTTAACGCAAATGGCATAAGACTGCATACCTAAAAAAACTGAATTATGTGTCTGTCAAGTACATCCTCTGTTCACAAATGTAAGACGTTTTGGCAGTTTAAATTGATCATCCTCTTTGTAAACTCATCTTTGGATTGATGATATCTTACACTTACATCTGGGAGCTGTTGCAGTATTGCACTTGATTTTGTTTGGCTGGCAATGGGCGCATCCAATGAATATATATAGTCGTTTTTGTACTTTCATATGTGTTATTGAAGAAGAGAGGATTACAGCTGCTGAGTTATATGCAGGTTGCAGGCCCAGAGCTCTTTAGCTGAAGCAGGTGCTGTCTCCGGCGTGGCGCTACCCAAAGGGCCAATGGATGTGGCTAGGCATGTCATGAGGGACGCTGGCGTCAAAGGTCTGTTCAAGGGCATTGTCCCAACAATGGGCCGTGAGATCCCCGGCAACGCCATAATGTTTGGCGTGTACGAGGCCGTTAAGCAGTACATGGCCGGCGGTCGGGACACGTCTGGCCTCGGCCAGGGCTCTCTCATCCTTGCCGGTGGCCTCGCCGGAGGAGCTCTGTGGCTCACGGTGTACCCAACCGACGTCGTGAAGAGCGTGATCCAGGTGGACGACTACAAGAAGCCGAGGTACTCGGGGTCGATCGACGCTCTCAAGAAGATCGTCGCGGCCGACGGGGTCAAGGGCCTGTACAAGGGGTTCGGCCCCGCCATGGCCCGCAGCGTCCCGGCAAATGCCGCCACCTTCGTGGCCTACGAGATCACGCGGTCGGCCATGGGCTGACTGACCCAAGGTCCCGGCGCCGCCCTAAGTCTCTTCTCCGACGCGGCTGAAGCGGCGTTCCACGGAGCAACTGAGAGATAATTCAGGACCATGGCAAACAAAAGAAAGGAAAAATTAACCATTCTTCTTTGCTGCGACGTTGTTTCTGAAAACCTTGCATAGACTGGCAGCAATGGCAGGATCGTTGGTGATAATAAAGGTTGAGCTTTACCTGCGCATGTGTCATGTGTGAGTGTAGTAGTGGCTGGTAATTTGGCTTGTCGGAATGGTTGGCTGGGAGTGGATTGGCCATCCGACGGCGATCCAATGGTGAGGGAGCGATTGTCTGACGGCGATGTGGGTGCGCCTTTGTGGTTTTGTTTGGTTGCAGCGTCTGGTGAGGGGGTGGGTGGGTGGTTCTGGGCTTGCTTGGCATCTGAACCACCTAACCCTTCTTCCTGGCCTGTATTTTTGCCGCTGGCTTAGTGGTGTGTTCTCTCCTCATCTTTGTTCTGGGTGGAAGGGCGGATTGAGTCCAGCTCCATTTCGCCTCGGAGTCAAGGTAATTCTCTTCCATTTCGTCCTGTGAATGCCCGCTTTTCCTGTTCATCTGCAGACCATGGAAAGTTTGGAAACTTGTTGGGTGGGGTTGTAGGATCATCGGATGCGATGGTCTTTTTAAGTTCTTGCGTGATGATCTTTTTAAGTTCTTGCTGAATGTGCCTTGTGATTCTTGATGCACAAACAAAATCCAAAGCTTTTGTGATCCAGTTGAGACTTGAGACAGGCTGTCATGTTGCATTGCTGTGGTGACTGCGTGTGTGTCAGGATTGCGATGATACGGTTGAAACTTGTCGGGCGTCTGTATTTATATATTCTTGGTTTTTTTTTGAATGATCGTTTAGGGGAGAGATTGCCCGTCTGAATTTCATTTAAAAGTGCCAAAGCCAGAGTTTGACAGCAGTTTTTGGGGGACAGGGGATACAGAGTATTTTTTTTTTACTCACAGTGTCGTGCTTCCGTGGTTTCGCTCTCGCCAGCGGTTTTCGCATAGAGATTTGTGTCGATGCTGCAAGGTTGCCAGGATGGCGCTGCCGGTCTTCGTGGTTTGACAGGATCTTTTCCCGTCAAACGGTATCGTATCGTATAGGATGCGAACATTGACAGGCTGTTGATGCTCGATTTTCATGCCTTATTATCTCCAAAAAACTTAAACAAATCAGCAAAGCAAAGCATTAAGGAAACTAATCGGGATCCATCCTTCCCAATCCAAACTGTTGTGGGAGCAGATGGGGGACGTGGCCAAGGACCTGGCCGCCGGCACGGTGGGCGGCGCGGCGCAGCTGGTCGTCGGCCACCCGTTCGACACCATCAAGGTGAAGCTGCAGAGCCAGCCCACGCCGCCGCCCGGCCAGCCGCCCAAGTTCGCCGGCGCCATGGACGCCGTCAAGCAGACCATCTCGGCCGAGGGCCCCCGGGGTCTCTACAAGGGCATGGGCGCCCCGCTCGCCACCGTCGCCGCCTTCAACGCCGTGCTCTTCACCGTCCGGGGCCAGATGGAGGCCCTGCTGCGCTCCGAGCCCGGCGCCGCGCTCACCGTCGGCCAGCAGGTCGTCGCCGGCGCCGGGGCCGGCGTCGCCGTCTCCTTCCTCGCCTGCCCCACCGAGCTCATCAAGTGCAGGCTGCAGGCGCAGAGCGCGCTGGCCACCGCCGCTCCTGCCGCCGCCGCCGCCGCTGCTGCTCCTGCCGCAGGCGGCGCGGCTGCCACCGTCACCGCCACGGCCAGCGCTGCCGCGGTGAAGTACGGCGGGCCGCTGGACGTGGCGAGGCACGTGTTGCGGTCGGAGGGCGGCGTGCGGGGCCTCTTCAAGGGCCTCGTCCCCACAATGGCGCGCGAGATCCCCGGCAACGCGCTCATGTTCGGCGTCTACGAGGCCACGAAGCAGTTCATTGCCGGCGGGCAGGACACGTCGGAGCTGGGCAGGGGCTCCCTGATCCTCGCCGGCGGGGTCGCGGGGGCGGCGTTCTGGGGGTCCGTGTACCCGACCGACGTGGTGAAGAGCAAGCTCCAGGTGGACGACTTCAAGAACCCAAAGTACTCGGGCTCCATGGACGCGTTCAAGAAGATCCTCGCCGCCGACGGGGCCAGGGGTCTGTACAGGGGGTTCGGGCCGGCCATGGCGCGCAGCGTTCCGGCCAACGGCGCCTGCTTCCTCGCGTACGAGGTGACCAGGTCCCTGCTCTAGGCGACCTGCAGGCTGCTGGTCATTCTTGACTTCGTTCTTGTTCCTCCACCCTGATGGTTCAGTTATCGTCGTCGGGACAGTCCTGTCTCTGTAACAGAAAACCAAGCCATGTGTGTGAATCGAACGAAATTTGCATTTGCATTTTCTTTCTTTCTTTCTGGAGAAGGTCAAGGTCATCTATACCCCTGTATAGTGTGCGCATAACTTTAAAAGATGGTCGGATAAAGCCAATCCGACGGTGCAGAGATGGCAAATCAAAGCATTGCTGGCCGTTGGATATCATCTACATTTTATCAGATTTTATCACATGTACAATCTAGAAGACGCCATGGAAACTTAAGCATAATGCACAAATCTCAAAACACGAGCACTTCTTCTTTGTTCTAGAATCTTCCGTATCATAATTGTCTAATTTTTTTTCTACATGAATTGCCATTATTTATTTTTACTTTATGCTTTACAACGCACAATTTCATGAATCTTAAAATAGATCAGTTTTTTATGAAAACTAAATGATTTTGAATGAGATGAACTATAAGAATTAAACGAACATCTACATCATGCATATATGACTTAAAACTTACATACTATAATATGATATTTGTTCATAATTTAGTTGCCAAATTGCATGCGTGTAATGCACGTGTACCTTACTAGTATATTAAAATTAGGAACCCTCTAGCTAGCGACCGTTCATTGCGAGGTAGGAGTGGCATTTGCGAACTGAGTAACAGTTTTAGTGTTTTATTTTGGTGCCGTTTTCTTCCAGAAACTGCCACCGTCAGATCTTAATTGTGTAGGGTGTGGAATGTTCACTTAGGAGGTGTTCCTAGCAACCGTTCGTAGCTAACATTACCGTAAAATTATTCGACCTTTAAAAGAAGACACCAATATCTAGTTGACGAAAGCCAGGGGAAGTGGTCCTGACGAACAAGCAAACCCCTCCCTCTTCACGACAATCCCTAAGACTCAGTTGGGCCCAAAAAACATTTTACTGAAATACAACAAAACTTAAACAGTGCTACTCGGACCTCATTTTAAATAGCTAAAAACGAAAAAAATACATAGCGGTGCCATGACAGAAGCAATTTTTTTGAAACATATCATACGGAAGGAATAAACGAAGAACACGTGGAATTTACGACATGACATGCTTTAGATGATAAAAAAAATTACATGTCATGCTAATTTATGAACTATATAATTGTCATGGCTGTGAAATAGACTTACCAGAGGAATAGATATAGAGAACACCATTATTTTTTTCATAAATTGACATGCTAGCTACTATGGCCGTGCTCTAAAAACATGTAAGGGGGACATGCTAGCTTCCTAGGAATAGACATAAAATTACCATGGGTACATGTCAAATATACAGTGATACAAAAATGACATAGGACTAGACTTGTTTGAAAATGGTTGTGTACTCCTGTGAGTACGTACTCCCGCTTCTCATATACCACATAGATGAATCTTTTATACCACTTTATTATTTTTAATATACTTCATTAGTAATTATTAGATACCTCAAAATGAGTTCCATGAAAAAATTCATGTGAGTCTATATATTTTTAAATTTTACGTATATACTGATGTGTTTGTACGTGAAAAAGGTACATTACAAAAAGTACATCACAGATGATATTTTTTCAACAAAACTCGTATTGGAGTATCTTAGAATATTAAATGAAGTATAGTGAGAATAATAAAGAGGTATAATTAATGCGTATATGAGGTATATTGAGAATGAG